GGGAGGCGGCGGTGGGCGCGACGTCGGCGGCTGCGGCGGCGGCGGCGGCGGCGGCGGCGGCAGCTGCAAGTTGAGCTGCAGGGGCAGCGCATACACTACAATGGCTGCTGGAAAGAGGCGTAAGGAAACAATTTCCAGGCCCGCCGCGTCCAGCCCGAAATATGAGAAAAAAATTATTAGAAATTCCGCGGGCGGTGTAAAGGCGGCGGACGGGCCGGAGGGAGGATGTTAAAGCCCCGCGGTGAGTTCTCCCGGGGTCCGGGGCGGCGGGGAGGCGTTTAGCGGGAGGAATATCAGGGTTATTTAAATTATGGGACTCGCCGAGGGGGCAGAGGAGCCGCGGCGGCGGCAGGAGGAGGAAAAGTTTGTGCTACTCCCAGCCCCTGCTCAGGACCCCAGAGAGAAAAATAATAATAAAAAATCAAATAAAATCGTGCGGCGGGGCTACGAGGACTCCCGAGGTCGCTGCTGACAGGGCAGGGGGCGACGCGCCCGGGGACCCGAAGGTGAGGTCGGTGGGAAAAAAAAAAACCCTTTTATTCAGGGTCTGGAAAGTTTGAAAAGTTTTCCTCCTCCTCCTCCTCCTCCTCCTCCTCCTCCTCCTCCTCCTCTCTGGTGCTGTGAATATTGTGACAGCGGCAGCGGCAGCAGCGAGAGCGGAAGACATTAGAGACCCGAAAAATAAGGGAAAAATTAATATAAATTCGGTTTTGAGAGGAAACTCTCCGCATTTTCCACCAAAACATCCCGGGGGAAGGTCGCTTCCCAAAGGGCCTGGCGGAGACCCGCGGTCGGCAATATTTGGGGGGCACTGGGAGCGACTTGGGGTAACTTTGCCCCCTCTCCCGAAGAGGTTTTTCTTTTCTGGAGAAATGCATTTGTTTTTGCCCTCCTGCCCAGGTGGGAGAGCCGAGTCGGGGTGCGGGGTCCGCGGGGCGCCGGACCCAGCCGGGTGGCGGCGGGGGCGTAGGGGGAGGGGGTGCTAAATGAAAGCAGGAGATCGGGACGGAGCAGGGACAGCTTGTTGTCAGTATCATAAACAACCAAAATGGAGGGAGAACTCAGGCATATAACCAAATAAAAATTGTTAAAAAATCGCAAAAAATCCCTAAAAATCCGGGATGCTCCCCCCTTTCTCGCTAAAGGTAGAAGTGTGAACCGCCTTTCCCCTGAAGTCCATTTTGACTTTGCAGGGACCAAGGAGTTAATATTTATTTATTTTTTAAAACTTTCGAAGGGCAAAAGCCTTTTATAACTCCACCGACAATGAGAAAATGTGAAAATCCAATGCGAGAGAAGCAGGGGGGAGGGAGGGGGAGGTGGTAGTGCCGAAACTGCTAAACTTATTGGTAATGTGGACTGATCTGAGATAAGATAAACACGGTATTTGCTATTTTATAACTCCCTTTTAATGATCTTTGCGGGGTTTGCTTTTTGGGGTAGGAAAAAAAAAGTGATGCCATTTTCTTAACAGAGTTAATATGTGTGATTAGAAGAATAAACCTTTCCGGCTTGATTTTGCATTTTCGTCGCCTTTATGCCTCAGGTTTTGTTAGTGGCTCCCTCCTTTCTTTAAACTGGGCTCTCCAGAGGAGGGGTAAAAAGGTGCTGTTGCCCAGAGAGACTGGAGGGCAAGACTGGCGTACCTTCTGGGGAGGGGTGGGGAGTTGTTTGGTTTCTCCCTTCCTGACACGTTTGCTTCACCTGTTCGCCCTCACTAAGGAATGTTGGACTGAGGTTTTCTGGTTTTATGTATATAAAAGGATGGTGCCTCTTGCATCACATTGATGTTAGTGGGAAAGTGCTGCTGATGTTGGTTCCACGTGGGATCTGGGACAGAGCAGGGCATTTTAAAGGGACAGCTTCTCTTTTCTTAGGGTTTTCATCACCTACGCAGACTTACTGTCTGAGGACCAAAGGCAGAGGTGCTGGAAGTGTGTGGTGATGGAAGAGCCTTCTCTTTCCATTACTCAAGTGCACCCACGTTTAGGAGTGATGGAGGGAAAGGAGGGATAAACAAGCCCAGCAGAAGATGGATATGTGTGTGGCTTAGTTTTCATCCACGCTGTTCTTTTATGTAACAAGCCCTCCCAGAAACTTTTCATGTTACATTGCTTTGCTCTGGAAGCTGATTTTGGAAGGAATTGTGGAAAAATGGAAATAGTTGAAGGTGTGTGGTGTAATGGTATAGCATTATTGAACAGTCACGAATTCTGTGCAGTGAGATCAAAGAGCCATGTATGCCCATAATGGGGGTTTACAGCCATTTTGTAAAATACCTAATATTCAGTTTGGCTTCAGGTACACTGAGGACTTCTGGTTGAAAATTACAGGCAAAGTGGTGAAGATTCCTTAACATTGTAAGCAGGAGGCGTTTCTGGGGAGGCGGGAGTGGCTCTCATGAAGACCATGGAAAAGTTTACATATACATTCATTTTTGAAGTCCACCCCATGCATGTGTTGTAACTATGCACTCTGAAAATGGAAATGCTTGAAAATCCTGAAACCCATCGATTTGCGTCTTTGCAGCCGAAGCGATTTGTGTTTAACAGGAAGTGTTTACTAATCATTAGCTGCTATCGCTCTTGCGTCTTAGATGTCCACAGTATTTTTTAAAGGTAAAGTGTGTACGTTGTTGACTGTACTGTATGTAAGATTAATCCTGATCTGGAATGGAAACTACTTACATTCAATTTCCATAGACATATGGGGTTTGGGAAATCTCTGTTTTGCTTTGTTTTTAAAATTCACAGAAATGGATCGAAGTTAGAACTGAGGTTTTAGACTGTTTAGGCAGTGTTCTCTTGTACCATACTGCATAAAAATTACTTTAAAGTCCATTGTGTATTAGTTCCTGTTTCTAACTGAACTTTTCTCAGCACCTTTCTGTAAATACCTCCATGAAAACACTATCAGTGTCCTGTGAGCACATCATCCTGTGGTTTCCCACTTTGGAAACAACTACAGCTTTCTAAGAAGTCACTAAAGAAAACACAGTGTCACAAATCACTATTAAATCATAGTGTGCTGGAAAGAGATTAAAAGTATCAATGAAGAAGATAACCTCTCCCCACCATAATCTTCTGTCCAAAGGTTTCAGAATTCCATCATTACCTATAAAACCTCTGGTTTATTTTGCATTTTCATTGTGTTTCTGGCTAAAGATAGTTTCTTTGATGATAAGGAGGATGATGTTTTGTGCTTAAAATACGTGGGATGCTTGGATACTGAGCAGTTGTCACTTTGACAAACCAAATACTAATATTAATAAATTCAATGACAGTAAAAGTCCAGGCAAGTTTTACTTTTAGTTCTTTTAGCTCATTAAGCTATTTAAGTTGTTTGGGCACTTAAAAATAGTGTTCCATTCTTTATTGTCAACCTCATCAGAAATTCTTCTATTAAGGTTAATCTTTCTCAGGTAGAGTGATATAAATTTTATGTTTGGGTTTTGTGAAACAAGCTACTTTTCAAAATTAGAAAACCCACTCAGAATGCCCAGATTAAAACCTGTAACTCTTAGAGTCTTGTTTAGATGCGGAGTGCCTCAGTAGCTGATTTGAATTTAGTTCTGTCAAGGTTTCTTGATGCCTTAGAAATTCTGCCTGTTGAACTCCCTTTGCTGGAAATTCTATTAAATTATACCAATTTACAGCAATAATCTAAGGATATCTCAAACTCCACATTTTTACTTCACTTAAAGTTAAAGAAACCTCACGGGTTAAGATTCTTATCTGAGACTTAGATGCCCAGTGTCCGTATTCAAAATTCTGAAAAGAATATTTCTGCTGTGGTGGAAGATTTCTTGAATGTGGGCTAATACTGATAAAACTCCATATCTGTGCATTTATTGTAAGTAAAATATTTCAATAAACAGACATTTTATAGCTAATGTAGTGAGTATGCATTTATCAATATAGTTTGAAAATTTAAGAATGCTATTTTTTGTTTTAGTTTCAATCAAATATGGGAAATTTCTTTCATTATTATCATAATTCTGGTTGTTATTACATACATTTTCATGTGGTATTCTGGAAATTTACCTAAAGATTAAATTATTGTTTTCAAAATTAAATGTCATGATCCTGGGATTTTAAAAGACAGACAACTAAAACCTATGTCCATGGCTGTCTTTGAAGTATGCTTCAATAATCATTTTTCTCAAGTTGTAGAAATCAAAATGTTCATGCTTCTAGGAATGTTGTAATATTA